CTGGGGGCCTCAGCCAGTGCTGTCGACGTTTTATGGGATGCATTTTAGTCCCATTTACAGTTTAAAGGTAAGATTGTTATTGTATGAACTCATGATCCCTGCCATTATGATATTACACACTGAGGTTTAATACTTTGCCTCGTTAGTTATGATGAACTGTTTTCTTCGCATAGCCTTACCCGATGGTCCTTTACATTTTGACATGTTTAATTGCAAATACTTGGGTTAACCGGTTGTCCTCCTTTTCCCATGTAGAGTGCATTCCTATCTATAGGGTCTCTTGCGTAAGGCGCAGCCCTAGTGGTGACAAATCTCTATAGCAATTTGCTTATCTGTAAGGATTTTATTTCTACCTTCACTTATTGAAACCTTAGTTGGCTGGATATGAAATTCTGGGTTTCAAAATTCTTTTTACTTAATAAGATATTGGTTGAATAATTTGTCGCCCCCACATCCCTTCTGGACATAGTAAGTTTGAGTTCTGCGCCTGCGACAAGATCTGCCTGTTACTCTCGATGGCCCTCCCTTTGTGGTAACCCGACCTTTCTCTCTGGCTGACCTTAAGTTTTTTCCTCATTTCAACTTTCGTGACACCAGAGCATTTTACAGTATCACCTTGTGTTTGCGATCATATCGAGGATGCAATCCTTAATGTGGCGTTCTGCTGTATTTATCGCGTATGGATTTGTAAATGTTGAGCCTCCCTTACTACGAGTTGGGAGTATCTTCACTGGATCCAATAATCCCTGAGAGTGTTTTTCCATTGCTTCTATTTGTCTCCACATACAACTTGAATTCAGGCACCCCACATCAGCACCGTAGATTTAGGTCGCTTTTTACATTACCATACCCATAACTTCTTGCAAAGGCATTTGTATCCATTTCTTTCTTTCTTCTCTTTTCTTACCATTTATTGAGTTTATCTCACAGCGCTTCTATTTGTCTATCATTCATTTTGACAACACGATCTCATTGACTGATACTCGTATCTTCCAGTTATGATCCAGGAGTACGGTGTTTTACTGAAGCTTGTGCCATTTGTCAACGTATTTCTCGTAATCATGGTTTTCATCATCTTTACCATTTCGCGTGTTAGGACTTCTCTGCATCCTACAATTTACTCTACGCCATCACACTTCTTCTCTCACTGATTTTATCATAAGAAATTTTTAGTTTCTTTTGCTGGGTACAGTAATTCCTCCTTTAGCTCTGAGAAGTTTGATGGACTGAGCCTTCTTGCTCTCATACTCGTCAAAGTCATATCCCCGTCCAGCTTTGGATCCGAATTAGCTGCGACTGTATGCGCGCTCCTTTGCCGGGGGACGATGCTCTTCTAGTTTTTTGGAATTTTCCACGCTTTCTCTCTGCCCTGCTTTCCCCTCTATTCTTTTGTATGGTTGTATCTAGCCTCTGGTCTTTATATGATGCACATCCGAGCTCAACATACTGATGGGTTTTGGTGTCAGGTCGGTACCTTCCTCTCTGAATAGTCGTATTTCTTCCTGGTCCTAAACATGTTCGAGATCCGCTTCACCTATAGTACAGTGATCCTGTTGGAGATTGCTTGAGGTCCACTCCAGACCCTGTTTGCCTGAGTTGTCACAGCAGAGGCTGCAGAAGATGAATATTGCTGCAAACAGCAGAGCTGCTACCTGTCTGATTCTTGCTTTGGAAGGGCTTCCTCCTCCAGGGCGGTCGTACTCCAACCCCTGTGAGGAATAGGGGTGTGCAGAACTGCCCCTCTTAAGATGGGGATGTCTCCCAATTAGGCTCACCTCAGAGGTTACCAGATGTGACCCACTTGAGCAGGCTAGTTCGGTTCCTTTATCTCAAGCATCTCAATAACCTTCCGTGTTGTGGAAGATCACTGCACCCCTCTCAAAGCTGTCAGTACAAGTCGTTTTGCGTCTTCCCAAAAGGAATTTACTATGCTGCGAGCCTTTTTCGTCTACTACAGACCACAATGTCCCCAGACGAAGGAGATCGTAACAGAAACAGGGTGCAGAGATATATCGCTTGAGCTGCTGTGAGCACTCCATCTCAGTTATCAGCAGCTTCACCAGACGCGTATATGAGTTATAACCTACTTCAAGAGCCACTCAGCAATGGCGGGCGCCCACCTCGCCACCAGTCTCGCTGCAGCCTATAGTCCCGGTACGATTTTCACATGACTTGCTGTAGGCTAGCCATATAGAGCGAGAGCTCCGTGTGGTGTTTGGCACCTCCCGGTCCAGGCGCTGATTAGGATATTGACCATCATCCCTGGTGGTGCGCTGTTCGCTTAACCCAGCGACGTACATTGGGTGGCACCTTTTTCACCCCACCGATTTTCCAGGTGTTGCTTGTGTCTCAGTTCCCTGGTAGAAAACGGGATTCCCTTCCCCTTCGCGCTTCCCAGAGTGACCGCAATGCTCGCCCTGCTTCGCTTCTCGCTGGTCGGATGCTGCAGCAGACTGACCAGCACCGATCGTACCGTCACTCCACCCAGTGAGCATTAACCCCAGTACCTCCAGTTGAAAATGCAGAAATCACCGGTCTTTGTGTCGCTCGTTTTGGGAGGCTGAAGTGGGTGAATTACTTGAGGTCAGGAGTTCAAGACCAGCCTGGCCAACACAGTGAAACCACATATCTACTAAAAATACAAAAAATTAGTTGGGTGTGGTGGTGCACACCTGTAATCCCAGCTACTCGGGAGGCTGAGGAAGGGTAATCACTTGAACCTTGGAGGTGGAGGTTGCAGTAAGTCAAGATCACACCACTACACTCCAGGCTGGGCAACAGAGCAAGTCTCAAAAGAAAAAAAAAAGAAAAGAAAAGAAACTCAAACAGTCTGAAAAGTAAAGCCAGTGATGAGGAGGAAGGCAAATAATGGTAACAAAAACAAACACACAGTTTGCTATGTGCCAGTGTGGGGGGAATACCCCAGACATTTCACATCTATGAATTCATTTAGTCCTCAAGACAATCCTATGAGGTTAGTACTACAATCTGTATTCACAATGAGGAAACTAAAGCACAGAGAAGCTAGTAAGTGATAAGGCTGAAATCGAACCCAAGCAGTGTGGTTACAGGCTCTGCCCTGAATCACTAAGCCATGCTGCCTTTTTGCACAAAGCATGGCACCGGAGTTGTCAGTGTGACCTCGATGAACTCTCAACAGCCATAGCTAAGAGTTATTACTTCTATTTTACAGTCTTAGGACTCACCCAAGATGACACAGAAGATTACTTACACTTATAATAGGCAAACTGCAAGTAATGATACATGGTAGCCACAAATTTCTCAACTGGATAGCCTCCTATAACTGGGGTGAGGTTCTCTTCACACTGTATTTTGCATTCCAGAACTTCTATATAATGATCTGAAACAAAACGTAAAATTTTCAGAGCAGTGCATCCATTATTTTCTTAATATGCTACTTCTGCCTCCTGCCCAAATGAAAAAGGTAAAAGAAGAATATTTGCAACACCCACAAGGAGCTGAAAATCTTTAATATACAAAGTTGTTTCAAATCAATAAGATGAACATCCACTATATAAATGGCCAAACGGTATTAACAGAAATTATTAAAATGTCTAAAAAACATTGTGAGAGATGCTACACCTCTTTTGTAATTAAGAAATACAATTACCCCCAAAATAATTTAAACTACTAAATTGCAAAATTTTTAAAAATTCATAATGTAGTATTAAGAAGAGAACAGTGAAATTTACACTCTCATATTCTGTTGATGGAAGCAAAACAGGAACAAACTTTTTGGAGAACAATTTGGTAAAATTTATCACAGGTTAAAATACACATATTTTCCAACCCAGCTGTCTACTTCTAGGAAATTTTCTTTAGACACAGGCATACATAAACACTGTTTAAAACAACAAACAAACAAACTTGAAAGTACCTAAATGCCAGTCAATAGGATGATTAATAAATTACAGTATATAAAAATAATAGAATCTATATAGCCTTTGAAAGAGAGTAAGGTGAACCTAAATATAGTCAAAGACTACATTTCCCATGCAGCTAGGTTGGGGCCATATGACTAGTCATGGCCAATGACATGTTGAGAGTAACAATTAAGGAATGCTACTTCCAGGCTTAACCCCTAAGACCTCCCACATGATCCCTGGCTCCCTCCCTTTTCTCCCTTTATGCAGCTAGAAGCAAAAGACTCCAGGAGGGTTGCACACACTTTGTAAGTAAGACTGTGGAGGAACAGGTACTTTCAAACATTGCTGGTAGGAAGTACGAAATGATACCTTAAAACACTAAAATTAATTTACAGAAACATTTACTCTTTGAACTATTAATTCCACTTTGGTTGACTTTGAAAACACACCTCCATACTTACTACCACCACCAACAAAAAAGTCTTACATACTTACTACCACCACCAACAAAAAATTAACATCAACAATAAGGGTACAAACAAACATCATACATATCTTGACGTGATATCCTGAGGAGGACATTTATATACCGGTCCAGCCAAAATGACATAACCTGAATGTAACTGTGAAGACACATCATAGAAACCCAAATTGAGGAATGTTTACAAAGTAATTAGCTTATATTTTTAAAAAATATCATTGGCATAAAAAGACAAAGAAAGGCCAAAGGACTGTTTCAGATTAAAGAATTCGAAAGGAAGATGACAAATAAATAGGAAACTGGCTGGGCACAGTGGCTCAAGCCTGTAATCCCTGCACTTTGGGAGGCCGAGACGGGCGGATCACGAGGTCAGGAGATCGAGACCATCCTGGCTAACACGGTGAAACCCCGTCTCTACTAAAAAATACAAAAAACTAACCCGGGTGCGGTGGTGGGCGCCTGTAGTCCTAGCTACTCGGGAGGCTGAGGCAGGAGAATGGTGTAAACCTGGGAGGCGGAGCTTGCAGTGAGCTGAGATCCGGCCACTGCACTCCAGCCTGGGCAACAGAACGAGACTCCGTCTCAAAATAAATAAATAAATTAATTAATTAAATAAATAAATAAATAGGAAACATGATTCTGAACTGGAAACTATACCAGGAAAAAAAAAGGTGCTAGAAAGAACATTATTGTGACAATTAACAAAAGGGGAATATGAACCACAGATTAATACAAGCATTGTATCTAGTATATTAAGTTTCCTGAAATTAATTACTATGGATATTTAGATAGTATTATTGTTCTTAGGAAGTAAACTGAAGCATTATGGGGGGTAAAGAGTAATAATGCATGTGCAACATACTTCCAAATAGTTCTGAAATAAAAATAATTATACACAGCCGGGCACGGTGGCACAAGCCTATAATCCCAGCACTTTGGGAGGGCAAGGCGGGTGGATCACTTGAGGTCAGGAGTTCAAACCCAGCCTGGCCAACACAGCAAAACTCCATCTCTACTAAAAATACAAAAAATTAGCCAGGCGTGGTGGCACTTGCCAGTAGTCCCAGCTACTCAGGAGGCTGAAGCAAGAGACTTGCTTCAACCCAGCAGGCGGAGGTTGCAGTGAGCCAAGACCGTGCCATTGCACCACAGCCTGGGTGATAGAGCGAGACTCTGTCTCGAAAACAAAATAAAATAGGCCGGACGTGGTGGCTCACGCCTGTGATCCTAGCACTTTGGGAGGCTGAGGTGGGTGGATCACCTGAGGTCAGGAGTTCGAGACTAGCCTGGCCAACGTGGCGAAACCCCGTCTCTACTAAAACCATAAAAATTAGCCAGACGTGTTGGTGCACGCCTGTAATCCCAGCTACTCAGGAGGCTAAGGCAGGAGAATTGCTTGAACCTGGGGGGCGGAGGTTGCGGTGAACCGAGATCATGCCACTGCATTCCAGTCTTAGCAACAAGAGGGAAACCCCATGTCAAAAAATAATAATAAATAAATAAATAAAATAATAACAATAATAATTATACCCACAGCACATACGGAGAGAACAATAAAGTAAATGTGGGACAATCAATGTTACAAATTGGTGAATCTAGGTAAGGTGTACATGAGAGTTCTTTGTATGATTCTTCCGTCTTCTCTACAAGTTTGAAATTATTTAAAAATAAAAACTAAAGGCCAGACGTGGTGGCTCACGCCTGTAATCCCAGCACTTTGGGAGGCTGAGGCGGGCGGATCACGAGGTCAGGAGATCGAGACCATCCTGGCTAACACGGTGAAACCCCGTCTCTACTAAAAATACAAAAAATTAGCCGGGTGCGGTGGTGGGCGCCTGTGCTCCTAGCTACTCAGGAGGCTGAGGCAGGAGAGTGGTGTGAACCCAGGAGGCAGAGCTTGCAGTGAGCCGAGATCGAGCCACTACACTCCAGCCTGGGGGAGAGCGAGACTCCGTCTCAAAAAACAAAACAAACAAACAAAAAAATAAAAACTAAAGAAACTCTAAAGATCTATATATCTACACTGTAAGAGGAAAATAAATCTCAGGACCCCAAAATCACTAAGCCAAATGGAAAAGTCAAGCTGGGAACCATGTAGGACAAACCTGTTTCCCATCCTATTCCTAAATAAGATAGCTACAAAGATTAAAAAAAAAAAAAGCCACAAACCTCTCTTATAATTTGCCCACAAGGAAGTTTTGTGGACAAAGGACGGGCAGAACTCAAAGTCATCCATCTGCTCATGTGGAACAAATGTACATATGATTGTTTCCTTTGCTGTGTTGTTTCACTAAGCCAGACTAAAGCATAAATGGCTATTCCTCTAAATTGCATATTCAGTGAAAGGCTAATCAGAAATTCAAAAGAATGCAACCATTTGTTTCTTACCTACCTATGACCTGGAAACCCTCTCCCACTTCAGGCTGTTCTGCCTTGCTGGACTGAACCAATATACATCTTACATATATTGACTGATGTCTCATGTCTCCCTAAAATGTTTAAAACCAAACTGTGCCCTGAGTACCTTAGACATATGTTGTCAGGACCTCCTGAGGCTATGTCACAAGTACGTCCCTAACTTGGCAAAAATAAACTTTCTAAATTGATTGAGACTTGTCTCAGATACTCTTTGATTTACAATACACATATATCTTAGCTATATCAAAGATAGATGGAGAGAGACCGCAGCCATTCTGTGCCTCCTGACGAAACATCAGCATCAGCTATGAAGCAGTTGACTCCCATCAAAAAAACCCCCAAAACAAAATCAAACTGAGCCTGTTCAAGCCTCTACATCCAATTACCAATTTACAAGAAATACAGAAGACAGAGGAACATGGGGATACAGTCAGCAAAACCCAGACCATGGGAATCTCTACAGGACAAAAATGCAGGTTCCTCAACAGCAAGGCGGAAAAGATATGGCCCTACGGATTAAACGAGATGTAAAACGTAACCAGCTTGCTACAATATGGATGAAACTTGAGGACAGTATGCCAAGTGAAATGAGCCAGTCACAAAAAGGCAAAGACTGTATGACTCCACTTATGTAATGTATGTAGAACAGTCAAATTCTTGAAGACAGAAAGTAGAAAGGCCGTTGCCAGTGGCGGGGGGCAAGGGGAAATGGGGAGTTATTGCATACAGAGTTTCAATTTGGAGAAACATAGAAAGTTCTAGAGATGGATGGTGCTGATGGTTGCACAATCACGTGAATGTAGTCAATGCCATGGAGTGTACATTGAATGATGGCTAAAATAATAAAGTTCATATTATGTATATTTTACCACTATAAAAATTTTCAAAAGATAACCCATTGCAATGGATGGACCTTAATTGGATCCTGACTCAAACAAATGGTAAATTAAAGGCACACACATGTATTTATGACATTTCGGAAACGACTGGGATACTGTTTAGGTATTTAATGATGAGATCAAATAATGATTGTTAAAATTCTTACAGGGGTAATAGCTTGGTGTTATGTTTAAAAAACAAAGAGTCCTTACCTTCTAAAGGTATATACTGAAATATTACAAATGAAATAATATGGCATCTGGAATTAGCTTCAAAATAACATGAGAGGAGGCCGGGCGCGGTGGCTCACGCCTGTAATCCCAGCACTTTGGGAGGCCGAGGCGGGCGGATCACAAGGTCAGGAGATCGAGACCATTCTGGCAAACACGGTGAAATCCCGTCTGTACTAAAAACACAAAAAATTAGCCGGGCGTGGTGGCGGGCGCCTGTAGTCCCAGCTACTCAGGAGGCTGAGGCAGGAGAATGGCGGGAACCCGGGAGGCGGAGCTTGCAGTGAGCCGAGATGGCGCCATTGCACTCGAGCCTTGGCGACAGAGCAAGACTGTCTCAAAAAAAAAAAAGAGAGGAAAAATAGGTGGGAATTAGATGAAGCCCAAGTGGCCATGAGTTGACAATCATGAAGCTGGGTCATGGGTACATGGTGGTTTATTTACTCTTCTCTCTGATTTTTGTATATGTTTGAAATTTGCCACAATAAAAAGTTTTCTTAAGACAAAACAAAACAAAACAAAAAAAACCCTACTTTGTAGAAAGAGATTAATGAATAAAAAGTGACTGAAAAAAAAACAAAACCGAAAACCCTGGATTCAATAACTTTAAACGAGCTTCTCTACTGCAGGATTTCTAAGGGCCTTTAACCATTAAAGTACACAATGACTCTTCAAGAAGGAGACACAGTGTTCAGCCCATTCCCAGACTGATTTAACAAGTGCATAGATACGATGCCTTTATCCAAGGTACAGTCCAGATTTTACTGATCTAGTCGTTTCAGGGAGGCACAGTTCTAGGATCAGTGTTCTCAAACCACTTTGGGAAAGAGCTCCCTTAGCCATTTCCCAGTGTCTGGAGTGATGCTGCCCAGTAAAGGCACTTGGGAAACGTCTAGGCACTATACAGAAATCTGGGTTACCTATGCGTAGAGTTTTATGTTTTCTTCCTTTCTTCATTTTTCCTTTCTGTGTTTTCCAAACTTCCTATAATGAGCACACATTGTTTTATAACCAGAGAAGAAAATTTCAAAAAGCTACCTTAGTGATGGCCACTTAAAGGTTCATTCGACCTTTGTATGTGTTGGAAAATTGCCATCATCAAAGTTATCTCAGTAATGTGAGTCACTGAGGTGCTCCTGGGCCATTTTTATTTTTCAAAATGCCTGTAGGAAATCTGTAAGTAGGACAGACACAGAATTCTACCTTGGCAGGCCTGTGCTTGAACCTTCTCTCAGTGATTTCACTAGAAGCCCTTGCCAAGTCAGAGGTTTATCTATGCAGGTGGTGACTACCCTCAGTTACCCATTAATACATATGCTCAAAAGTTCCTCAGAGGCCACTCCAGGCATCTAGAAGGCATGCAGGCAAAGAGCAGACATCTAAGCAAGACTATTCCATAGGAGTAGCAAGCCTATTGACCTACCACCAACCTGCTATGGAAAGGTAGAAATCCTTGAAGTCCTTGATCTCCCTGGAACCCTCACAGGCCGCAAGACACTCGTAAAAGGCTTTGAAGAAGTCGGGAAGGGCCAGCTCCATGTCTGTGATGGATGTTCTCCAGTTCTCACCGTTGTACGCTCGCACTGCTCGGATGAACAGGCTCTGAAAAGCACGGAGAAGCTAGTGAAGCTCGCTCCTGGTGTGAAGGGAGACAGTCATGAGCTCTCAAAGGGAACCAAGACCACCACCAAGTTTGCTCTCATTAGCTCTGAAGCCACACTGACCCTTAAAGAAGTCAACCAGTGAGTTACTTTATATCTAGATTTTTCTACTCTGCTTGTGATGGATACACTTCTTATTTAGTTCAATTCAAAAAGTAGCAGGACCTTGATAATAATCTGAATCAAGGAAAATGGGAAAACTATGACAGAGATCAGATCAGCGGCTGCCAGGAGTCAGGGGTTACAGCAAAAACTTGACTACAAAAGGACAAGAGGAAATTGTTCAGGGGTGATGAAAATATTCTATGTCATGATTATGGTGGCAGTTACAGGACTGGATGTATTTGTCAAAACTTACTGCATTATACACTTAAAAACTGATAAATATATTGTAAATAAATTGTACCTCGATAAAACTGGTTTTTAAAATGGAACGAAAATAAAAATATAAGTTTGAGAGCAGGTATATTAGCCTGTTCTCACACTGCTAGAAAGAAATACCTCCAGCCTGGCCAATATAGCAAAACCCCATCTCTACTAAAAATACAGAAATTACCAGGTGTGGTCACACACCTGTAGTCCCAGCTACTGCAGAGGCTGAGGCACAAGAATCACTTGAACCCAGGAGGAAGAGGTGGCAGTAAGCTAAGATCGTGCCACTATACTCCAGCCTGGGTGACAGGGCGAGACTCCGTCCAAAAAAAAACAAAAAAACTCGAGACTGGGTAATTTATAAATAAAAGAGGTTGAATTGGTTCATGGTTCTGCAGGCTCTACAGGAAGCACAGCAGCTTCTGCTTCTGGGGAGGCCTCAGGAAACTTACAATCATGGCAGAAGGCAAACGGGCAGCCAGCACTTCACATGGCCAGAGAAGAAGGAAGAAAGAGAGGGGGAGGTATTACACACTTTTAAACAACCAGGTCTCGTGATAACTCACTCACTCACCATGATGAGAACAGCCCAGAGGGGATGGTGCTAAACCATTCATAAACGATCCACTCCCATGATCCAATCACCTCCCACCAGGTCCCATCTCTAACCCTGGGGATTACAATTCAACATCAGATTTAGGTGGAGACACATATACAAACCACATCTGCAGGTGTCTGTCACCCCACTTCCTCCAACAATTAATTAGTAGTTAAACAGAAATGCCACCATACCTCAGCACTAGTTACTAGGAAGGGCAACCATGTGCCAGATAGTGGAAACTTCAAGGACTTTCTGCTAATTGTTGATTAGACTCAATTAGAAGAGAAATAAAGGGAGGCTGAGGCAGGAGAATCATTTGAACATGAGAGGTGGAGGCTGCAGTAAGCCAAGATCGTGCCATTGCACTCCAGCCTGGGCAACAGGGCGAGACTTCGTTTCAAAAAAAAAAACAAGAGAGAAATAAATAGGACCAAGGAAGCAACTTAGTCTCCAAGAAATAAGTAGAGATCCTGGATATACACAAAACCTGCTAACTTGCAGAGGCCAGGAAAGGCCCTGAATAAGCATGAGACCCTCCATTTGGAGTTCCTTCTCAGCTCTTCCTGAATGGGGGTATCTGAGGGCCCCCCTTGGCCCTAGAATTTTCACCAAGCTTAAGGCCTCAGATAAAGAGGGCGGATTTTTTTCTTCTTCTTTTTTTTTTTTTTTGGAGAGAGTCTCACTCTGTTGCCCAGGCTGGAGTGCAGTGGTGCGATCTCAGCTCACCGCAACCTCCGCCTCCTGGGTTCAAGCAATTCTCTTTGCCTCAGCCTCCCGAGTAGCTGGGATTACAGGTGCCTGCCACCATGCCCGGCTAATTTTTTTGTATTTTTAGTAGAGACAGGGTTTCACCACCTTGCCCAGGCTGGTCTTGAATTCCTGACCTCGTGATCCACCCACTTCAGCCTCCCAAAGTGCTGAGATTACAGGTGTGAGCCACTGTGCCCAGCCAAATCCCCATGTTCAACAATGCCCTGCCCTTGCTTGCTACCCAGGCCCCCAGTGCCTGAGTTCCAGAAGACCTTGACAATAGTGAGTGCTCAAAAGGACAAGATCCTTCTTTCTTATTGTTGTTCTTATGACTAATTCTCATCAAAACTCTTCTTCGTAGATGCGCAGATTTAAGTATCCTCTACTCTTGTCACGTCAGCCTTCCTAACTCATCTTTGTTTTCCACTTTAATATATTTGGGGCGTGTTTGTGTGCATGTGTATATAAAAACATATGCCTTCTCATTTCTTCAAAACTGGAGATTTATGTTTCTATTTCTTGTGTTCCTGGTCATTTTTAGATGATTTCCAAGATGTCTTTACTCTCTTAAAACTAAATGATTAAATGACCATATTTCTAAAATGTAGCATTTAAAGGGAACATGGCTTTTAAAATCATCACGGAATACAAAATGTCATTGTCAAATGGATCACTTTGTGCTAAAAGTCAATCATTTCTATTGTCATAATATTCAGCAAATGTCACCAAAAATCACTAGAGGTCCTTAGCTATCAGTAGCTGCTTATGGAGAGACATTTCTTTAACAGTCCAGGTTGCCACTAACTGCCACGTACAAATCCAAATATACCTCATACGACTTGGTTTCCAGGTCTTTAATGTAGTCCTCGGCACCAGGCAGGCTCTTATAATACGCCATGTTCCTCTTCATCATTTCGTCATCAGGATGCTTCAGTAGAAAGGTGTGAGCAGCTGCGATGGCTTTGGGGAGATTATTTGCCTAAAAGGACAAAGAACATAAAAGCTACTCCATGGATGCTGAGTGGTAATTTTTGTAAAACAAGAATATCTGCTCAGGCCTTCAGAAACTTTGTGTTGCTATAACTTTTCCAGCTAAAGGTTCCGTGACTTCCGGGGCCCCTCAAGACCAAGTCCAGGCACTGCGAGATGAGTGTTGATTTCCTAAAAGCAACTGTCTAGATGGCCTCGGTCTGCCTTTCCCAATCTACTCTGCGCTGGCTACGCCTGTCCATGCCCCAGGAGGCTGGCCTGTGTGGACTCTAACAACAGACTCCCTCGCCCTCTGGCTTCCAAAGAGATTCACCCATGAGGAGCCCCAACAGGACACTGAGGAAGGGAAGAGAGTAAGGTCGTATTATTTCATTTCCTGGTTCCCTCCCTGCACAGTCATCTTGGGCTGCTAAGTCCCCTAATTGAAGGTCACAGCTCTTCTCAAGGTGACCCTCTCCATAGAGTCTCCCTCCTTCCTGGTTTCAATCATTGCTCTCTCCCCTGCCCCTTTTGGCCTAGGGGTGGTCATATCCCACTGCTACCAGCCCTGGGGCACACTATCCCTGTGGATTCCCCATGTACTGCACACACCTTTGTAAATAACCACCTTCTTAAACTTTCCTCCAATTACCCAGTGTGACTGCACCAAATCTTTCCCACTGGAAACTTGACAAATATATTGTTTTCCCAAATCCCCCACAGACCTTCTGCTAACCTCCTCACTTATTCATCCATTCACGCAGCAAATAAATGGCATATTACAAGAGCACCATTTCTAGGATGTGGGTCTATAACAATAAGCAAAACAGGAAAAAAAAAATCCCCACCTGCATGGACCATATATTCTGTTAAGTTCTCCCTGTCTCCTAGTGGCCTCAATTAAGAGCCTCTCTATTGTATTAGTTCTGGGTTCTGTCTTCCCACGTTTTACGCCACCCTGCAATCTCAGCTGGTATGTCTATCTCCCCCATCAGACTATGATCCTACCCAGCTGTGTGTCATTCATTGTCTGGATTCCCAGTGCCCCACACTGTCCTCAGGACAAGGCAGGACATGGTGAGTGTCTGTGATTTGAACATAATGATATTATGACCATAAAATATAATAAAATTAATTTATAGTTTCCTTTCTTTTCCCCTCAGTCTTCTCTCCATTGAATGGGGGCCAATGATTCTGAGTTTCACTGCCTCAGGGAAGGTAGATGTCTGGTCAGAACCAACAAATTATTCATTTGAAAAAAGCCTGTCCTCACGAAAGAACCTGGCAGGTTTGAGGAGAGAAAGAAATTAGGGAGGAGCTGCAGGAAGAAGCTGACTGGTCTGGAGGAAGAAGAGGGAGAAAGGGAATCTCCCAGACTAGGAAAAAAGTTTCCCTTGGGATCTGTGGGAGCAGCAGGCCTGTGGGCCCCAGAGCTTCAGGGCTGGCACTTACCGGCAGTGTCCAAGAGAGCAGAAGTCCTCAGGGGGAACAGGTATGTTATGGGGGGGCCTCAGGAGGGCAGGCAAATAGGGATGCAGAGGCCTCCCTGTGGGGACACATGACCACCAACCAGAGGGCCCCCCACGCTGATGGACTCTTGGCACAACCTGGTAGGGAGAAGGGCAGGCACCTGCGCATGTGCACAGAGACTCAGCCAATCCAGAGGGACGCTCCGAGGCAGGAATTAGGGAATTCGGTTTAGACAGAGAAAATAAAGGAATATTTGGTATACCCTAGATTTCTAAGAGTCATAGGATGGCATATATCTGTACTGAATTGCCCCAGAATTGGAACCACGTCATTTTGAGACAATAGCAGTGGCCACATCAGAGAAGTGGTGGGTGGTGATGAGGGCAGACTCCCAGATGTCAATGCTGATGTTTTGGGAATGCCAATTAGTGGTCTGTGGCAGGGCTGCCTTTAAAACAGCCCTACAGAAAGCTTCATACTCCTGGCTGGAAAAAGGCTGGATTTCAGCTAGAAGGAAGGGAGAGGGTATGAATGCTGCCTTTTAAAGCATTTGCCAATGAAATCAGAGTTGCTAATTCTCAGAAGAGCATTTAGAAAGGGGGCACAGAGGGCGGGAGCAGTGGCTCACGCCTATAATCCCAGCACTTTAGGAGGTCGAGGTGGGCAGATCACGAGGTCAGGAGTTCAAGATCAGCCTGGCCAAGATGGTGAAACCCCGTCTCTACTAAAAAGACAAAAATTAGCTGGGCGCAATGGCAGGTGCTTGTAATCCCAGCTACTCGGGAGGCTGAGGCAGGAGAATCGCTTGAACCCGGGGGGGGGGCAGAGGTTGCAGTGAGCCGAGATCGCGCCACTGCACTTCAGCCTGGGCAACAGAGCAAGACTTTATCACAAAAAAAAAAAAAGAAAGAAAAGAAAGAGGGGCACAGAGTAGGATTTTTAAGGCCTCTAACTTAGGATGTGAGTTTTACAAAACGGAAACTCTTCCTGAAGAGAAAAGTGTGATTTTATTTACTTCAACTCAGGTTCTGCAGCTGGAACATGGAGACACATCTTGGCTGCTAAACCTCTGACAGATCCCAGGCAGATTTTGGAGAAGGCGGTAGAGATGTGGGGAACCACCCTGCCTTGGATTCCTGAGACAGTCACCAGCATGAGCCACCCTAAATCAGCCATGACACAGAGGCAGGCCCTGTGGTTCTGGGGAGATTAGAGGCCACTGCCAGGCAAGGCCTGGGGTAAGAGGGCCTGTGAGTCAGTGTTCTCTGCCCAGGTCAGAGCTCAACAGTCATTAAGGATTTGATGAAGTGCTTGGGCCTACTTTTTACTTGGCCTACAGAAAAAATGAGTTTTTCATGGAAGATGGTAGTCATGAAGAGAACCCAAAGAAAGTTAATGACATGGACCTAGAGTAGGCTGGTGATGAGAAACCTATGATGTCCTTGAGGCTGCACACCAGTAGCCCGGCCCTTTTCTACAAAAGCACACATGCAAGCCTCCTCGCCTCCCTCTGGCAGTCGGAACCCACCACTGCTATTGTGGTTATCAACTGAAGCATTTCTCCTTAATCACCGAAACAGAGAACTGCAACTCCAACAGCAGAGTAGCATTTACCCATGTCCTACCACAGTGCACTAGCTACCTCCATATGGATCTCCAGCCTTCAGGTGCCAGGTGGAATGTATGTGCCTGCCACCCATCTTTTCCTCTCTATCCATAAACAGAGTTTAAACACGTAAACATCACTTTTTTTTTTTTTTTTTTTGATACAAGAGTCTTGTTCTGTCACCCAGGCTGGAGTGCAGTGGTAAGATCTCAGCTCACTGCTGCCTTGACCTTCTGGGCTCAAGCGATCTTCCAGCCTCAGCCTCTTGAGTAGCTGAAACTAGAGGGGCACGCCACCATACCCGGCTAATTTTTTAATGTTTTTGTAGAGATGAGATCTCTTTATATTGCCCAGGCAGGTCTTGAACTCTTGGGCTCAAGAGATCCTCCCCCCTTGGCCTCCCAAAGTGCTGGGATTACAGGCATGAGCCATCATGCCAGGCCATAAACATCATTGAGAAAAAATAAATCATACAATATCTCCACCAAAAATTACTTTTTCAGTTATATCTTCCACTGAAATAATTAAGTAACAATCATGTTTATCAATAAAATTCTTAGCTTTTTCCTGCCCTCTAAGAGATCTCAAAATGTTAAGATGGTGGCCAGGCACAGTGGCTCAAATCCCAGTCTGTTATCTCAACATTTTGGGTGGCCGGTGGATCACTTGAGGTTAAGAGTTCGAGACCAGCCTGGCCAACATGGTGAAACCCCATCTCTACTAAAAATACAAAAAATTAGCTGGGTGTGGTGGCACATGCCTGTAATCCCAACTACTCAGGAGGCTGAGATACAAGAATCACTTGCACCCTGGAGGCAGAGGTTGCAGTAAGCCAAGATCGTGTCACTGCACTCTAGTCTGGGTGACAAAGGGAAACTGTGTCTCAAAAAAAGGGGATAGATATTTTACAGACCTTCAACTAAGTGATTGTTACAAGACCTGTAAAGGGTTTTGAAGAGAAGCTATGACCATCCTAACTTTTTGGGGCCACCATCATGAAGGAGAAAACCCATGCCTTACGGTCACATTGAGTAACATGTTCTTCCCCTCCTCCCTGTATCACTGGTTCAAATTCATCTGTATATTAAAGAAATCAGAGCTTCTAGTATTCTCTAGGTTTAAAAATAAAATGTTTTCCTCTTGATTATGTGACCTAAATTTGGTTCAGACCGTATTTGCCAAAAGCTATACAAAAAAAGAATTAGATAAGTCATTTTTAGCTTAAAAAATGATGCTTTGTTTGAACCAGCCCTCATTTTTAACAGTCTGGAATTTTATTATTAATCCCACTCCCTGCTTCTATTTTAAAACTGCTTATTTTTTAATTGCCAGAACAAACATTCACAAAATTGATATTTTATATAAAACTGTAACTAAGCATAGAAGTATAGAAGTAACCCAGCTTTTCTCCTCTTTGGGGTTTTGTGTTATTTTATTGCTCATATAAACACAAAATACACGTGGCTCTGTCTCGGTGGAAATATGAAAAACAGATCTTGCAGTCCAGAGACTGAAAACAAAGTTTAAAAACAAGAAAAACCTTCTACCTCAAGAGTCTAGGATATGCCATGAATCTATTTTTGTAGTTATTAAAATAAACACAATATATTCCTTTTAAAATGTTTCTCAGAGAAAGTAGAACCTGGGCTTTGAGAGGGCTCTTTTAGCCAAACTCTGTGAAGACCCACCAAGCTAGAGCCTCTTTATCTAGTGACAGGGAATTCGACCCATTCTTAAAACTTGTGGGTCCTCAGTGTAAGAACCCATAGGATAGAGAACTGCAATTTGTGGCTATTTTTAGTCAGCAATCACAGAGAGAACTTAAGCAGCCATTAAAAGGAGGCAGTGAACTGTGTTAAATTCTAGATGAAAGAAAGAGCGGAGAGGGCCAATCCTGATGACTCACGGTGCAAGAGTTCGCCTTCAAGCAGGGATGTGTCCTTGCAAGGAGTCCCTGCTCTTCCCTGGCCTCAATTTCATTCTCTTTAAAAAGAACTAGTCAGCTAGGCGCAATGGCTCACGCCTGTAATCCCAGAACTCTGGGAGGCGAGGTGGGAGGATCACTCGAGTCCGGGAGTTCGAGATCAGCCTGGGCAACGTGGCGAAACTCTGTCTCTACAAAAAATACCAAAAAAATTAGCCAGGTGGGGTTGCAAGCGCCTATAATCCCAACTACTCAGGAGGCTGAGGTTGAGGATCACCTGAGCCTGAGGAGGTGAAGGCTGCAGTGAGCCATGATCGTGCCTCTGCACTCCAGCCTGGGCGACAGTGAGACCCCGTCTCAACTAAAAATAAAAATAAAAGGTACTCGTCGGCTCCTCAGGTCTTCTGCTTTATTATCGCAAGTCACCGCTCAGAAAAAAGGCGACTGGCTTTAATGGTATATACAGAAAAGAGGCGTCTGCCCTCAAATAACAGAGAACATTTATCAGGCACTTTGTTGGGTGCCTGGCGCTGTGCTGCGTTCTGTGTACATATGCTCTGCCTTAGAGCTACCGTTCAAGAAAGGCATTTTCATCTTTACTTGAGATGAAGAAGGAGGCAGGATCTGGAGGGAGACTTTTGGCGGGGCTGGGTGGGAGGGAGCCAGGTCTAGAACTGGCGATGCAACGCGGTCCCGGGCGCAGGGGCGGGGCCAGGGCCTGGGGGCTGGGTCAGGGGCGGGGCCGGGGCCTGGGACAGGGCGAGGCGGACTTGCCTTGAAGTAGGCGAACTGCAGGAACTTGTAGGGCTCGCGGCGCTGGAAGTCCGCCAGCACCTCGCGGCTGGGCTGGGACTGGCGGAAGGCTGGCAGGCCTTGCTTGCAGCGCTTGAGGCAGTGCGCGCGGCGCAGCAGGCCCCCGAAGAGGCGCAGCTCTGGATAGCTGGCGAGGCCGGAGGCGGGCTCGGGCTGCGGCGCGGCGCTGCAGTTGCGGTGGCAGAAGGCCTCGCTGTCGCGCAGCAGGCGGTGCAGCCGCAGGCTGATCTCCAGGTAGCCCACGCTCTCAGCCCAGTGCTCGCCACTATACTTGTCCAGCGCGTGCCGGTAGGCCGACTCGAGCGGCATCAGCTCGTCCCGTGGGAAGCTGCGGAAGCTGTAGCGTTCGTACTGGGCGCGCCCGGCGCGCAGCGCACAGGCCACGCACAGCAGCGCCAGCAGCGCCGCGACCCCCCGACGCCCCGGCTCCATCGCGCCCGGCGAAAGGAAGGAAGGAAGGGACGAAGGAAGGGAAAAGGGGAGGGAGAAGGAAAGGAAAGAGGACGGCTCGACGCGGCGGGCCGAGTGCTTTCGGGGCGGGGACGCCAGCTGCCGGCCCGCCCCGTCCGGCCGCCCCTCCCCACCCAGGCGGGGGATCTGGGCGCCAGCTGCCAGCGCCGAGAGGGTGCGCGTGTAAGGCGCGCTGCGCGCTGGTTCACGAAGGCTGATGCGTGTGATGGGGCTGCGCCGCTCATGCACTTGGAGACTCGCCTGCAAGGCCGACGCAGCCCTACGATCTATATAATCTACAATCTTTATAGTCTCTTAAAGGTTTGTGAAAACGAAGATTCCCGGACTGTGCCCCCAGAGTTTCTGATTCAGAAAGTGTGGGGTGGAGGTATGAGGATTTGTATGTTTAACCAGCACCCTGGTGAGGCTAATGCTGCGGGCTCACGGGCTGCACTTTTAATAGCTCTGCCCAACCTTAGATTTTAGTGAGAGAAAAAGACAGTGCAAAAATAAAATTAATAAGGACGTGAGTGGCACTTTGTAAACTGTATAGCTAGTCAGGTTGAAGATGTGCACACCTTGTGAATCTGCGACACCATTCTGTGGAATATACTGGAGAAGCTTGCGCGTGTGCATCAAAAAATATGGATGGAATGTTAGTGGCAGCACTTTAAAAAAAAAAATCTTTAAACTTTTAAATCTTGAAATAATTTACAAGAAAGTTGCAAAAATAGTACAAAAAGTTCCTGTATACCCTTCATCAAGATTCACAAGTTGCTAATGTTATACCACATTTCTATGTTTACATTTTTTTCTGACACATTTGAGATAGGTTGCATATATCATGCCCACTGTCCCTTAGTCGTTTTATTTTGGTTTTTGTTTGTTTGTTTGTTTGTTTGTTTTTTGAGACGGAGTCTCGCCCTGTCATCCAGGCTGGAGTGCAGTGGCACCATCTCGGCTCTCTGCAACCTTTGCCTCCCAGGTTCAAGCAATTCTTCCTGCCTCAGCCTCCCAAGTAGCTAGGATCACAGGCACGTGCCACCACGCCTGGCTAATTTTTCTGTTTTTTACTAGAGATGAGGTTTTGCTGTGTTGGCCAGGCTGTTCCTAAACTCCTGACCTTCGGTGATCTACCTGCCTCGGCCTCCCAAAGTGCTGGGATTACAGGCGTGAGCCACCGTGCCCAACCCCTTAGTCTTTCAGTATGTATGTCCTTAGAATGAAACTACCAATCAAATTTAGGAAATTTAATACTGATAGAAGACTTTAATCATGTTCCATTTCCAGTTTTGTCAGCTGTTCCAATTGTGTCTTGCGTAGCACTTTTTTCTCTTAGGATGCAGTCCATCCATGATTGCTGTTACATCCAGTCTATTTCATATCCTCTAATCTAAACTGGTTCCTTGGCTTTTCTGGTCATGCCATTAGCATTTCTGAAAAATATAGGCCTAAACAGCAATGAAATACCACTACAAAATTCAAAACACTGACAACATCACATGCTGACAAGGATGTGGAGCAACAGGAACTCTCATTCGTTGATGGTGGCAATGCAAAATGGTACATACACTTTAGAAGACAGTTCGGCAGTTTCTTACAAAACTAGGCATACTCTACTCATACAATCCAGAAATTGCACTTCTTGTTATTTACCCAAATGGGTTAAAACTTATGCACACACCTGCAAATGGATGTTTGTAGCAACTTTATTCACAATTACCATAACTTGGAAGCAACCAAGATGTCCTTCAGTGGGTAAGTGGATACATAAACTGTGGTATATATACACAATGGAATTTTATTCCAAGCCAAAAAGAAATCAGCTATCAAGCCGTGAAAAGACATGGAGAAGTCTTAAATGCATGTTACTAGGTTGAAAGAAGCCAATCTGAAAAGGCTACATAGCCAAACTACATTCTGGAAAAGGCAAAACTATGGAGACAGTAAAAGGATCAGTGGTTGCTGAGGATAAAGGGAGGGATGAATGGGTGGAGGACAGAGGATTCTTGGAGCAGTGAAGCTATTCTATATGGTACTATAATGGTGGATACATGCCATACATTTGTTACAATCCATAATAAGTACAACACTAAGAGTGAACCCTAATGTAAACTGTGGACTTCGGGTGATAACGATGTGTTGATGTAGGTTCATTGATTGTAACAAATGTACCATTCCAGTACAAGACGTTGACAGTGGGGGAGCTTGTGCATGTTGTAGGGTCATGGAGTATATTTGAACTCTGTACTTTCCGCTCAGTTTCGCTATGAATCTTGAACTACTCTAAAAAACAAATTCTGGTTTTTTTGTTTTTTTTTTTTTTTTGAAATGGAGTCTCGCACTGCCGCAGAGGCTGGAGTGCAATGGCACGATCTCAGCTCCCTGCAACCTCCACTTCTGGGGTTCAAGTGACTCTCCTGCCTCAGCCTCCTGAGTAGCTGAGATTACAGGTCAGTGCCACCACGCCAGGCTAATTTTTGTATTTTTAGTAGAGATAGGTTTCATCATTTTGGTCAGGCTGGACTCGAACTCCTGACCTCGTGATCCGCCCACCTCAGCCTCCTAAAGTGCTGGGATTATAGGCATGAGCCACAGCGCCTGGCCTTTTTTTATTTTTATTTTTTTAAAGAACACCGGCCAGTTAACTTTATAAAAGCTTCCTCATTTGAGGTTTTCCTGATGTTTCCTCATGACTAGATTCAGAGTAAGCTCTTTGGCTAGAATGCCATAGAAGCAATGTGCCATCTGGCTCAGGGTAAAATCTAAATAGCACAATGCCCACCCCTTGTCTGTGTTAATTTTGATCACTTTATTACCGTGATGTCTATTTTCCCTACTTCATTTGTTTTCTTTTGTAATTAACAAGTGTTTACAGTAAGGTGCCGCAACATTGTTCTTAATGGCAGAAAGCAGAAATAACCTGTCCATACACAGAAGAGTAGATTTAAAAAAAAGACAGAGTAAATGCATATAGAAGAATATATTACAGCAGGGAAAATGAAAGAATTAGAGCTACAAATAGTTCAATGTGGGGGCGGGGGGAACTATACAGAATGATTCCATTTGCCTAAAGTTTTTTGTTGTTTTTTTTTTTTTTTTTTGAGAGAGTCTCACTCTGTCGCCCAGGCTGGGCTGCAGTGGCACCATCTTGGCTCATTGCAACCTCTGCCACCCAGATTCAAGTGATTCTCCTGCCTCAGCCTCCCGAGTAGCTGGGATTACAGGCACCTGCCACCGCACCCAGCTAATTTTTGTAGTTTTTAGTAGAGAAGGGGTTTCACCATCTTGGCTAGGCTGGTCTTGAACTCATGACCTTGTGATCTACCCACCTCGGCCTCCCAAAGTTCTGGGATTATAGGTGTGAGCCACCGTGCCCGGCCCTAAAGTTTTAAAATATGGAAAAGTACACAGTGTATTATTTAGGAGTACAAATAATATAGTCCTACCTTATATAAACACACAGGGTAAAACTATATTGAAAAGAGAATGATAGGCCGGGCACAGTGGCTCATGCCTGTAATCCCAGCACTTTGGAAGGCCAAGGTGGGTGGATCACTTGGGGTCAGGAGTTCGAGACCAGCCTGGCCAACGTGGTGAAACCCCGTCTCTACTAAAAATACAAAAAATTAGCCGGGTGTAGAGGCACATACCTGTAATCCCAGCTACTGGGGAGGCTGAGGTAGGAGAATAGCTTGAACCCAGGAGACAGAGGTTGCAGTGAGCCGAGATCGTGACACTGCACTCCAGCCTGGGTGATAGAATAAGACTGTCTGAAAAAAAAAAAAAAAAAGAAAAGAAAAGAAAAATTAAGAAAGAAAAGAAAAGAGGATGATAAATGGAAACTTAGGATAGTGGTTTCTTTCCAATAGGAGGAAGAACATGAAATGGCAGAGGGTCAGACGCAGGGGAGGGGTTGGGGAGTAAATGGGAGAATGTTCATTGCATCGTTACTTTTTATGCCATACATATATTTTGTAAATATTATTTTATATATTTATATTTCATGTTTTTGTTTTTTAAAAAACAATTTTTGGGAAAAGAAAAGATTGCAGTAGTGATATGAAGAAAATTAAAAAGCTGAATGAGATGGGGTGGGGGAAGATTGTTTAAGGAGGTGGCATTTGGAAAGAGACCTGAAAGGGGAGGGCACCTGTGGAGAGAGCTGTGCTGGGAGATGGTGCACAATGTGTACCTGATCCTGGAACATCTTACCCTGGAAATCACCAGTGACCATCATTCCCAATAGCAAAGAGATACAATTTGGAATCATGTCACACAATCACTCAATTGAACAAGATGCTAAGCTCTGTCACAGCTACTTCCTCTGTCTTGCCTTTGCCTTACCAACTCCTTTCAAAGGGCCTTTGTCCAGGGCTGTTGTTTCAGATTTGGGAGGCCGACGTGGGTAGATCACCTGAGAGGTCAGGAGTTTGAGACCAGCCTGGCCAACATTGTGAAACCCCTTCTCTACAAAAAATTAGCTGGGCAGGCACCTGTAACCCCAGCTACTTAGAAGGCTGAGGCAGGAGAATTGCTTGAACCCAGGAGGCAGAGGTTGCAGTGAGCCGAGATTGTGCCACTGCACTCCAGCCTGGGAGACAGATGAGACTCTGTCTCAAAAAGAAAAAAAAAAGGCCGGGTGAGGTGGCCACACCTGTAATCCCAATCCCATCACTTTGGGAGGCCGAGGTGGGCGGATCACAAGGTCAGGAGATCGAGACCATCCTGGCTAACACAGTGAAACCCCGTCTCTATTGAAAATACAAAAAATTACCTGTAACCCCAGCTACTTAGAAGGCTGAGGCAGGAGAATTGCTTGAACCCAGGAGGCGGAGGTTGCAGTGAGCCGAGCCCAGGCCACTGCACTCCAGCCTAGGCAACAGGTGAGATACCGACTCAAAAAAAAAAAAAAAGTTTTAAATTCCTGCCTTCTCCATCTCCATGCCCCTTGGTAATCTCCACCAAGAGGAGCTTCTCCACCAAGAAGGAGAGTTGGTTTCTCCACCCTTTGGATGGGGTTTGGATATGTGATTTACTTTTGTCAAGGAGACAGCAGAAAAGGTCCCAAATGTGCACTGGGACTTGCCTCTT